GGCGGCGCTGGCCGCGCAGCGCCTCGCTCGCCTCAGACGCCGGCGCGCGGTTCCGCCAGCCCCGCAACCCGGAGAGGTTCCATGGTGGCTTCTGCCCCCTGACCCGGAAGCAGTTCTCGGTGTTTCCGGTCCAAGGAGGTTTCCTCCGCCCTCCCCGGCCCCCTTGGGTAATCCCGCCGCCAAGGTGTCCCGTCCTCTGGGCCTGTGGGCGAAGGGTGGCTTCGGGCTGGGGTTGGCCGGCGCCTGGCGGGGGTTCCGTGGACCCGAAGGGCTCCCCTAGGCACCGATGGGGCGGCCTCCGGCTCTGCATACTGCATCCCTGGCCGGTCCCCACCCCGCGTCGAGGTCCAGACTGGAGTCTCATGCTGGCGTCAGGCCTATCGCAGGAGGGGTGGCTGGGGCAGCAGTCCCTCCTAATATTAGCGCTCTTGATGGAGGAAACGTTTAGAGTGGCTGTAGCGGAGACAGCAAGCTGAAGTGCTTGCTCCATCATCTCAGCCAGTGGGCCCAGTTCTTCTCCTAGGGTCAATCTAGATCCCTCCCTCTTGCGACTCCAAAAATACCTCAGGTCAGTCCTCCTGACGGTGTACTTCTTTTCCTTGTCTTTAACAGATTCAACATTCCGTGGTTTCCCAGGGCTTTGATCATCTGATCTCATGAAGCACTCTTTGAGCACTAGATGCAGACATTCTATCTGCGAGCAAAGAATCGGTCACCAAGAGCGTTGTGAGTCACGATGTTCTTGTTATGTGACCTTGAGCAACTTCACATCTCCAGACTTTTGTTTCAATTTCTAAAATTGTGGGAAGATGACCTATATCACAGCTAACATTTGTTGAATGTTATGTTCTGGGCAGTAGGTCAAAGGTTTTCTATGTATAACGGCCCTTAATCTTCACGTGACGGTATTCCTATTTTATAGAAGCTGTGGTGCAGAGAGACTTAACTTGCTTGTTGTGGCACAGCTAGTTAAGAAGAGCTAGAAGTCAAACCCAGCAACCCGGTTTCAGAGCCACAAAAAAGAGCAGGATTTGATGGAGATGTCATGTGGGAGGAGCCCAGGATGCATGTAAAGCAGAAGCAGAAGATACAGCCTCATATATTGACAGGGTTTGATCCTTCCTGTGGGCAATGGAAAGTTGGAAACGTTTAAGCAGAAGAATATGACTAGTGACTATATGTCCCATTCTTATAGGGAAGTCTCAGATTATGCCTTCTTTCATATGCATAATTACTAGAACCTTCTTTTTCTTAAATAAAAATATGGTCACCTTAGAAAAAAATTAATATGGCCACTTAGATCAAATTAATTTTATAAAGAGCTCTGATGACAGTTGCACAACAAAGGCTGCAGAGAGGACCCATTAGGAGGCAATTTATATTCTAAGAAGAGATGCTGAGGCAGCCCTGAGACAGTACCAGTGAGTGACAAGAAGGTTCAGATTTAGGAAGTCCGTTTAGAACTTTGTGATTAACTGGGGCAAGGGGTATAGGGTGGATGCAGGCTCTCAACAAACTCACTTCTAGGTTTTTAACTTAGAGCAAATAGTGGAAGCAGACAGAATTGGCAGAAAGGACAAGGGTGTGATAGGGAGTTGATACTCCTCCAGCTTCTCTGCACTTCACAGTAGGACTTGTGCCTTCCTTTATCTGGATCCAGTACTTCTACTAATGACAACAGAATAATGACCTGCTGGTACTGTGATTCCTAGTAAAGGTGCACTTACACTATGGTACTTAACTAGATCTCTAGCTCTTTTTCACATTCAGTGCAATGTAGAGTAATAAGCTCTACCTTTTTCACACCGTTTCAGAATGTGTAAGATACGGACTTGTTTACTGTTTACTGGCTCAATGGACTGTACGCTTTATGAGAGTCTGCATTAGCTCTTTTGTTCACCCTAGTGCCTAGAAAAGTGCCTGGTTGTATAGGATGGCATCTATTTTCCTGTGTGCATACATTTCTTTAAAAATTCAAATGTAACACTGCCTGATAACTACTGTTAAATTTTGTTGATTTTATTCCAGGTTTTACACAGCTATTGCTGAATTTTCAGCTACTGTAATTCATCCAATAAACACTGAGTACCAACATAGGCCAGGTGCTGGGATACAAGAGCACAAAATGAATGTGGCTTACAATCATGGAACTTAACAGTAGACATAACAGACAGTTGTAACAGTTTGTATAGGTGTTGCTGAAGGAGAAGATTCTAGAGAGACATTCAGGAAGAGGATCGTCTTTGCAAACCACACTTGCCAGGTGCAGGCTGCCGAGAATCACCAGTTCTAGGTCAGTGATGGCTGAACAACGTAGCCAGTCATTCCAGGTAGAGGCCATTTCATCTACTTCCACTAGTTAGAAGGCACTTTGAGGATAGATACCCTTTTATTATTCTGGATATACTCTACAGTTTAGCTTGGCTTAAACAGAACACATTCTCAGTAGGTTTTTTTGGGTCGTTTAATTGAAAGAATAGAAAAAGCAGGTACTTAAAAATAAAAGTATGACTTTAATTCTGAGAAGCTTAACAGGTTTTAGCCAAACCTTAAAAATTCATTTTTCCAGCACTTGTACAATGAGAAACTAGATAGGCTTTCTATAATTCGACTGGTCTGAAATTGTGTATTGTTCTAGTTACAATGCCTAGATATCATAAGGTTAACAGAAACACATCCTGTTACATCTACAGCCATATAGAGAATGGTGTTCTGAATGCCAAGTTCTTTGTTGTTTCAGAAATAACTAAAATTAATGATCTGACTTTGAATATCCCTAAGTCTAGGAATGTGTACCATTTATTTTAAAGGTATAACTGACTTTAAAATACATTTGGTCAAAACTATTTCTGGCCAGGTGTGGTGGTGCACACCTGTAATCCCAGCACTCAGGGGCTGAGACAGGAGGAGTACTGCAAGTTCCAGGCCAGCCGGGGCTGCATAGTGAGTTCAAGGCCAGCCTAGAGTACATAGTGAGACCCTGTCTCAAACAATCCCCCGCTCAAAAACCAGACTATTTCCATGCTTTATTTTAAAAAATGAATAGGAGGCTATATTGCATAAGTTTCCATCAGAGCCAAGAGTTACTATAAAGGTTAATCTACCAAAGAGCTGGCAGTTTATACTCTATCTATCTGTTACAGTTGCTGCAAGTTACATGTTGCTGCTAAGCACTTCAACTGGCTCCTCTGAGTAAGAAGTAGGGTAGCTGTAAAATGCACAGTGGATTATTAAAATTTAAACCCATCTATTTCATTTTACCTTTTTAATATGATCCTAGAAATTTTAAAATTATACATGTGACGAACATATACTGCAGGGGACACACTGAATAATTTACCATTGAGACTATTAAATTCACTAACAACTGTTGCTGAATCCATTCATTATTTATGTTGTCTAAAAATAAACACCAGTTTGAGGATAGAATTCACTTGCTGAGCATGCATGAGGCTTTGGGTTCAGTCTCCAGCGTTAGGGGAAAAAAAGAAATCAATGACAAGAATTTTTGATGTTAAAATACTTAAAGACACCCAAATACTAAGAACCATTAATAAACTGGACTCATAGTAAACTATGGATTCACGAATACATTTTGTCTATTTTTTGGAGAATGGAGATGAAGGATAGGTAAAAGGCCAGCCAGGGAATGTGCAAAGTACTTCATGTTGGCTTGGAACGCTTTGTGGAAAAATGTTAAACTACTAAGTGAAAACGGAGAAAACAGCCTTTACTTCCTGGGATAGGGGTCTGCATAATGTGACAGGCAAATTCAAAGGGATTCTAAATTGGGAGGGACACTTCAGGAGTGGAGGACGAGGCAGAAGGCTCTCTGGAAGAGTAACTTCAATAGCAGCTTCCAAAAAAGCTAGAGAATGCTTGTCATACATACAGAAGCCTATTTAGTCTTTCTGAGGACGCATAATTAAGGGTTATATATATATATAAATATATATTTATATATATATTTTCCATAAAAATACAAGCTTTTACTAGCTCGTAGAACTTACTCATCTGGAGTAAGTCAAGGACAGTGTATTTTCTCTATTCATCCGGTGTCACTTGCTGTCCCTTTAAAATTGAGGAATATGAAGGAACTATTGCTAATCCAGACCACCTCAAGAATATACTCAAGGGGCTGGGGATTTAGCTCAGTGGCACAGCACCTGCCTGGCAAGCGCAAGGTCGTGAGTTCGACTCCTGGTACCAGAAGAAAAACAAAAAAATAAACGAACAAAGAAATAATAAAAAAAAAGAGAATATACTCAAGAATAACAAAAAATAACCTAAAATGGTCTCTGTTAGCCTTTATTTGAGAAAATTTACACAAAAACTCCCAATCCAACCCTTAGAAGTGCTTCTGTATAAATCTGCATGCTTCTGTATAAATCTGTATAAATCTAAATTTCCATTAAAAAAAGAAAAATGGCTTTGTCAGGTTTTCATGATAATGGTATAACAAAACATACCTAAATTGTATCGCTGTCATTTATATCGTACAGATAATTTTAAGTACTATACTAAAAGTGGAAGAAGGTAGATAATACCCCCTGAAGCCGATTTACTCTTGGACTAGCCTGATATCAAAAGCAAATACTTTTTGTTTGTTTGTTTGAGAGAGTTTTGCTATGGGGTTCAGGCTGGCCTTGAACTCACTTTGTAGCCCATGCTGGCCTCAAACTTTCAGTGATCCTCCTGCCTCTGCACTTCAAGTGCTGGGATTACAGAAGTGCACCACCATGCCCAGCTAAAAGCAAATACTTCGGGACCAGGGACATAGTTTAGCAGCACCGTACCTGCCTGGCAAGCATGAGGTTGAGTTCAATTCCCTGTACAAAAAAAAAAAAAAAAAAAAAGATAAAAGCAAATACTTCTACTTTTTAGATAAAAATGAAAATTTACCATCAATTATTTATACATAAAAAGCGAAAATGTCTGAGTTCATATTTTTGGCATGAGAAAAAGGGAAAAAAAGGGAGGGACAGGGAAGCATTTTAAGTTCCTTACATTTAGAGTCAGAAAACATCACCAAAGGTTTTTTTTTTGGTCTTTTTGAGACAGGGTTTCACTATGCAATTCAGGCTGGTCTTGAACTCACTTTGTCGCACAGGCTGGCCACGAACTCGCAATGATCCTCGTGCCTCAGCCTCCCAGAGTGCTGGGATTACAGGCATGCGCCACCACACCCAGTTAGCAAGGTATTATCTTTTATCTTCTTCTTTGACATTTTTCACAGAGGACCATAACACAGTAACTTTCACTACTTCTCAAAGTAGGGAAGGCACCAGTCAGACGTACAAGTCTCATGTTAGGCTAATGGCACAGACTAGGATTTCACATTGAAATGTCCCAGTCTAGATCTTAAGACACAAGTTTGTTTATTCTCTTCCCCGCTTGGACGCATCCTGTCGTTTAGTATGTGTTAAGGTGACATACTGTCACAACATCTGCTGTGCCTATGGCAAGGAACCTACTGCCAAGTTCACAGAAGCAGCACCTATCACTTCTCAACAGCAGATGGCAGTGTTGCACAAGTAATGAGAAAACCACTTTTACTCCACAAGAGGGATTTACAGGAGTCAAAGGATGGAAAAAAAAGGCTTTGGATTCACAGTAACTGGAACACTAACAGAATAGCCTGAGACTTTAACAGCATAAACTACTCCTTTTTCACCTACTCCTCACTTTTTATCCAGGTCAACACAATAGTGTTCTCCCATATTTTCACTATTTTCTTCCTTCACTGCGAGTGATGTGGGCCTAAGTCCTGTAATGCTTGTCACTGCAATTACACAAATCTTGTAACAGTCAGTAGAGTTAAAAAGATTACAGAAAGAGTAAACTCACACCTGCTCTCCCGGGGGAAGTGGGAGACACTATTTTCCCAACTGTTTATGAACACGGTCATTTTTATTCACTTTTTTTTGTAGTGCTAGAGATCAAACACAAGGCTTGGTGCACAAGCTCTACCACTGAGCGCCACCCCAGCTTTTCTCTTTTCATATGGTACTGGCCTTGAGGCACTGCCCACTCCCACGGGTGCTGCTTGGCTTTGCTTTCACATGTATTCAAGTATTTACTCTCTCTGTGGCCTTCTAAGACGTATATTTTGCACCTCACATGTCTTAATTCTCTAGATAAAACACATGAGGACAGGAACACATGAGTGACTGGCCATGCAAAGAGAAGTGATAAGTTTTACTTATTTTTGCTCCAGTAGAAGTTACGTTACAATTCCAAACAACCACAGATCTGATAGAGGACTTCTACCTAGGATAATAAGGAACTCTCGAAACTCAAAAGGAACAAATGGTCAATTAGAAAATGGAAAACAGACACATTTCACATAAGAGAATCTACAGATGGAAAACAAACTCATGAAAAGATGTTCAACATCATTAATCATTAGGAAAATGCAAATTAAAACTGTGATATTACACACACTTTAACAGTAATAATCCCAAATGCTGGTAAGAATGAGGAGAAACTGGATCAGTGATACACTGCAGTGGAAATGTAAAATGGTACAACTGCTCTACAACAAGAATAGCGAAGTTTTGTACAAAACTAAACATGCTTACTACACAACCCAGCAACTGCCCTTTTGGGCCTTTACCCCAAAGAAATGAAAATTTATGTTTATATAAAACTTATACACAAATGGTCACAAAAGCTTTATTAGAAAGGGCCCCAAACTGAAAACAAACCATTTGTCCTTCAGTGGGTGAACGGTTAAACTGCAGTACATCTGCAACCATGGAATATTACTCAGCAATAAAAACGACCAAAGTATCAATATGTGCCACAACTTGGATGAATTTCATAGAATTTGTTGCATGAAAAATGTCAATTTCGAAAGGTCATACTCTATAGACTCTGCTTACGTAACATTTTTTAAATGACAAAATTACAGATAGTGAAGAGAGTCACAGTTGCCAGAGGCTGGGGGAGGGGCACTGTGGGGGATGGCTGTGGCTGTAAGAAGGCAGCACGAGGGGTGGATGATAGAGCTGTACTGTCTCTTGTCATGGTCATATGAATCTACGATGGAATTGCATAGAACCAAATAAAGCTCAAGCAGTTCAGCACAAATGTTTTAAATCTAAAATGAGATCTTTAAGAGTTTATCTGCAGTTCAAACCTGCCTTTTATGAAGTGTCACATCCATCACCCTTTTAACAGACATAAAATTATGAAAAGCATCACCAGAAGCTATGTGAACATTTCAGCTAAGGATGAAGACAAAGTTCAGGGTATTTTCAGAAGAAAACCCAAAGATGCAATCAGTATGAAACAAGTTCAATGTGATCACACAAATCCTGGTAAAAGAACTAGCGTGAAAGCCCAAGCTGGTAAGCAAGTGGGAGGAGGAAAGCAATAGTTCAAACTGATGACGTGAGGAAACCCAGGACGAATGCTGGCTTTGGCATTATCTAGGTAACCTCTGTTTTTGTCATAGGTGACTCTAATAATAGTCCTATTGTTGCAAAACCAATTCAAATCCTACCAAGTTCAAAGAAGTCTCTCACTGACTTCTGGGTGCAGGTGGTGCCCCTGTCCTCCCACACCAGGAGATCAGTTCTGGCAAGCAAGTGCCAACGTGCCTGGATGGTGCGGTAGGTAGGAGGCCCTGGGACAGGCACGTTCCAGCGGATGTCCTGCTGGCTGGGATTCCAGTGGGGAGGGGACTGTGCCTCATTACTCAATCAACTTCTTGGCCTTGAAGAAGCGACGCAGGTAGAAGACCTGCCAAGTGGCTAGTCCGATGAGGCAGAACATTGAAAAGATGCTGAAGTACAGGACCCGGGTGTTCGTTGACTCTAAAAAACAAAAGCCTTGTAAAGGTAATGAAGTGAGCAACGGCCTGGGAAAAGGCAATTAGTTCTGAGAAGACCAAAATAAAACAACTCTATTTACAAATGTTAAAAATTACAAAGATTAGTGCTACCAATTTGATATACTGTAAGCCAACTGTCAGTCCACCAATGCGTATCACAGAATAAAATTCCATTCTCCTGGAAGTCTAACAAGCCTGATGTATCCTTTAAGTAGCAACAGTACTGAAGCCAATGGTTTTCCTTCTATACACCCCACATCTCCAAAACTGAGAGAGGGCACCCCAGAACTTCAGGTTGGGGGCTCTCTCCTCTCCGGGTCTCTCCTTTAAAAGAGCTGCCTCCCTCTCACCATTGGTGTCGCGCATCTCCTCCTCTCGCTTCTTCATGTAGGCAAAATCGTTGACGATGGACTCGGAAAGGTCTTCCAGGCGTCGCAGCTCCACCTCCAGTGGTTTGAGCTTCTCCACTTTTGCGATCTGGAAAGGAGAGGAGTCAGGAGCCCACTCTTGGAAAACTGCTGTCATGAACAAAGGCAATAGCGCCAGGCGTGGTGGCTCACACCTGTAATTCCAGCACTCGGGAGGCTAAAGCAGGAGGACCACCACAAGTTCAAGGCTAGCTGGGGCTACACACTAAGTTCAAGGACAGCCTGATCTACATCTTTGTCTCAAAAAACCAAAACAAAAAACACAAAGTAACAAGAGTAATCTTTTTAGAAGTTTACTAGATTTAAATCCTCTGCTGTTAATCACCTTAATGTATTTTAAAAGATGGCCTTCTACCTTTCCCAGACTATATCTTTCCATTTCAGATTTTTTTAATACTTCAATTTTTATTTAAACCTCTTTAGAAATATTGTAATATGGCAGGCTATAAAGTAAGACTATTGTTTACCCTAGACTTCTGCCCTGACCTTTTTTGGTTGCTGTTTTTTTACAAGACAAGGTCTTGCTATGTAGTTCAGGCTGGTCTTGAACTCACAGTGATCCTCTTGCCTCAGCCTCCTGAGCAGTGGGATTACAAGTGTGTGCCACTACACGCCTAGCAATTTCTGACTTAATAAAGCACTTTGTTTTGCTCTTCTACTCATGTCATAAACAATTTTATTAATATAGGAACTGTGAAGCCAGGTGTGTTGGTGCATGCCTGTAATCCCAGTATTCAGGAGGCAGAGGCGAGAGGACTGTTGTGAGTTCAAGACCAGCCTGGGCTACACAGTGAGGTACAGGACAGCTGGAATTACATAAGACTCTGTGACAAAAAAAAACCAACAACACAAAAAACCATTTTATATATATATGTGTGTGTGTGTGTGTATATATATATATATAATATATATATTATATATATATATAAACTATAAACTATAAGAGTTATATTAGGTCAAACCTAGTTTAATAAATCCTACAATCTTAAGCTTAGAGCTTAGAGACAAGATAAATCCTGGATTTGCTCAAAACATGCCACTGTTTTCCAGTTTTGTTGTTTCTTTAAATAATGACAATCAGGCTGGGCATGGTGGTACTCATCTTTAAGTCCAGCACTGAAGAGGCTGAGGAGGATTGCTGCATGTCAGACGCCAGCCTGAACTACATAGTGACACCCTTAAAAAAAAAAGACAGCCAGTTTTCAAAAGAAATCTCCCACCTTTCCTGTAGGGTAAGGAATAAAAGATGTAAGAAAGCCTAACTACAGGAGTATCATATAGGCCGGGCATGGTGGCACACGCCTGTAATCCCAGCACTCGGGAGCCTGAGGCAGGAGGATTGTTGCGAGTTCGAGGCCAGCCTGGGCTACCAAGTGAGCTCAAGGCCAGCCTGAGCTGCATAGTGAGACCCTGTCTCAAAAAGACAAAAAGACAAAAAAAAAAAAAAAAAAAAAAAAGGTAGTATCATATAAACAATGATTTCATTAGTCTGTTTTTTCTATTGACCTTGGCTTATGATAGCTTTATTTTCAATATATATTTATTTTGGGTTTTTGAGACAGGGTCATGCAGCCTAAGTGAGCCTGGAACTCCGTCCTCTTGCCTCAGCCTCCCACCAGCACGGCTGGCTGTAATCCCTTCCCCACCCCTAACACAGCATCTTGCTGAGGTGTCCAGGCTGGCCTGAAGCCCTCAGCTCGCAATCCTCCCAAAGAGCTGGGACTATAGATGTGTGCTGTGCTCAGCTCAGGATCTGCTTTAAAATGAGATGAACTACGGCTGGAGATGTAGCTCAGCGGCACTAGCACCTGCCTGACAAGCCAAGTTCCTCAGTTCGATTCCCCGCACACAAAAAAACAAAAATGAAAAACCCAACAAATAAAAGGAGATAAACTGAAGAGCTTTTCCAGTCTGAAAGCCGCACCTGCCTACCGCTCTTTGCTCCCACACAGGGAGCTCTTCAATACTCCGTCTCTAATTTACCCTCTATTTACTATACTGTCATCACAGAACCTTCTCAGCTCTTTTCTCAAACTCACTGTCCTTGTTCTTTCTAGTAAATCACAACAGTAGTTTACACGGGGTAAATGAGAAGGGTTTCAGGGTAACTATTCTCTTTGCTTATCTCTCTTCTGCAAGGGATGTGAAGAACAAGATAAATATTATTTAAAATAAAACTAGAAAAAAAAATAAAACTAAGAACATCTATCAAGCCAGGGACAGAAAAACTGAGTATATAAAATACATAAAACTGTGATGGGCCGGAGCTGTAGATCAGTGGTAGAATGCCTGCCCACCATCTGCAAGGCCCTGGGTTCAATCTCCAGCACCGTAAAAACATGCAAACAAAAAAGTAGTGATGGGTTTGTGACGACAGACACGTAACTTTTCTTTCACGAGACAAACATTTCTCACATCTTGCGGTGTTGGCCGGAGTTAATGGGGCTGGCAGCTGCAGAGCAGCTTTTTTGGATGAAAGATTCCATGAGTGGCAAATGTGTTAAAGCTAACTTTCCTAGCTAAATGCTCAAATGCCAGGCTTGCCATTAACCTAGAGTCTACAGTGGTTGTTTGATTTCATACAGATCTGAAGAGAAAAAAGTTCCTGAAGGAAAAGATAGCAATACAAGGAGTACATAATAAGTTGAACCTTAGTCTATTTAACTTCTTCCCTCCTGTTCTTACTTCCTCCCCAAAACTTCCTGAATGAGCTAGAGTAACATTAATGGCATGAAACTTCTTAGACATAAGCCATTTAAGGTTCCCTAAATTAGAAATAGAAACTTGCAAAAGGAACTGGAAGTGAAACTATGTCTGTGCTTCTGCCAGCTGTGGGAGGGGGATATATACATTATACATTTATATAATTAATACACTTTTTTTTTTTTGCCAAAAAGCATGATGGAAAATTAAACTTGCAACTGGGGATGAACTTGGTAGAGTATAGCCCCAAACACTCATTCGCAACACCTATACAGTATTTATCTTTTAGTTTAAGTGTCTGTTCTCCTGCTAAAACATTTAACTATTCACAAGCAAAGAGAGTGAAAAATAAAAGTCTGCCTTCACAGTTTCTTAGTTCCCAAATCCCCACACTCCTTTTCAGAGGTAACTATGGTTATGAACTTGGTATATATTTCCAGACCTTGTTAGAAGATACCCACTATTCATGCTTTGGTATGTAAGTATACACAAAAAATATAAGATATTTCCAAAAAAACCAATGCTTATCAAGTCACATTAATGTTGCACGGTATTCCATATTGCTAGTATGCCACATTATCTACTTAATAATCATTCTAAGCCAACCCCTTTTCTAGCATAGGTTACTCTGGACTGTATACCTGTATTTGTAACCAAGCAGTTTTTCCCACTTTTCAAGTCAATTTCATTGCCTCTATAAAATCTACAGTGGCTGGGCGTGGTGGTGCATGTCTATAATCCCAGCACTCAGGAAGCTGAGGCAGCAGGGTTGCAGTGAGCTCGAGGCCAGCCTGAGGTACATAGTGAGTCCAAGGATAGCCTAAATTAGAGTGAGACTGTGTCTCAGAAAACAGTAAATAAACAAACTAAATGTATACCGAATTCCATCCTTCCTTTAGGAAGTTATTTTCAGACTTTTATTAGTGAGATAAGGTCTCCTAAAAAGCATTTTTGCCCAATAACTGGTTTGTTCTTTTGTTGTTGTTTTTGTTTGTTTACTCTTGATAATTTAAAATCTAGAAAACTTAAACTCTGAAGGACTAAAACAATACTGAAAACTAACTTGCCATTACAACCATTTAACATGCTGTGGCTATTCAATGATAAACAGTATGTTTATAAATGTTTAATCTAAACATATAAATGTTTACTCTAAATGTAGAAATCAAAATAATATTTTGAAGGAATCAAGAAACAGAAGCTGTTCAATTAAATTGAGTGACCTGACAATTAAATGGTATTAAGGAATGCAATTCTGCCTTCTGTCATGTGAAAATACAGCAAGAAATGGCCATTATTACCAGACATAACCAGGCTGGCACCCTCACCCTGAACTCCTTAGCCGTCACAATTTACTTTGTTTGTTTTTTGTTTTTCTTCCAGTACGAGGAATCGAACTAACAACCTTGCGCTTGCCAGGCAGGCGCTGTGCCGCTGAGCTAAATCCCCAGCCCCTCACAATTTACTTTGAATAAGAAAAAAAAAAGTTCTGTCTAGAAAAAAAGAAGGTGTAGAGGAATTCATAATTGTAAAAATATTTGGTTATAAAAGAAGACCATTATACTGAGTTGAAAAATTGACAAATCAGGCACACCTAAAACAATAAATGATAGACTACAAGAAAGGACAAAGAAGCACATTAAGCACAAAACAAATTAACAGAGGATGCCTATTATCCCAGCACTCAGGAGGCTGAGGCAGGAGGATTCGCATGAGTTCAAGGCCACCTGGGGGCTGGGGATTTAGCTCAGCGGCAAAAGCGCTTGCCTGGCAAATGCAAGGTCGTGAGTTCGGTTCCCGGTACCAGAGAAAAACCAAAAACAAAAACAAAAACAAAAAACAAAAAAACAAAACAAAACAAAACAAAAAAAACAAAGTGAGATCCTGTCTCAAAAACAGAAACACAAACCAAGTGGGTAGTAAAAACCTTTTCACTGCAAGAAAAATATGGTTTAAACAACTGTAAAAAGATTATGCATGTGCTTTTGTGTGAGGCCTAGGGATCAAACCCTGGCTCTCGCACATGCTAGGCAGGCCCTATACCACCAAGCTATGTATAGCAGCCCCTTTTTGTTTTTATTAGTAAAACAATAGATTTTGGGGTATTTTTGGCAGTACTGGAGATTGAACCTAAGCTTTTCGCATTGAGCTATATCCCTAGCCCTTTTAAAATTTTGAGACAAGGTCTTGGTAAGTCAATTACCCAGCCTGGCTTAAACTAGGGATCTTCTTGCCCAGGTCTCGCATGGTGCTGGGATTACAGGTGTATGCGGGATTACAGGTGTATGCCACCATGACTGGCTAATAATATTTCTTTGAGTGCAATGTGTAAGGCACCAATCTAAA